TGCTGAGGCTTGGACTTCTAGTAATATGTTGAACAACAGTGGTGAGATTGAACATCCCTGTGGTGTTCCTAACTTTAAGGGGAAAGCTCTCAATTTTCCCCATTGAGAATAATATTTGCTGTGGGCTTTTTGTATATGGCTTTTATGATATTGAGGTATATTTCCTCTATCCCTACACTGCGAAGAGTTTTAATCAAGAGAGGATGCTGTATTTTGTCAAACGCTTTTCCTGCACCAAATGAGAGGATCATATATTTCTTGTCCTTTCTTTTATTAATATAGTGTTTTACATTGATTGATTCACAAATTTTGAGCCACCCTTGCAGCCCAGTAATAAATCCCACTTGGTTGTGGTGAATAATCCTTTTAATGTACTGTTGGATCCTACTGGCTAGTATCTTGGTGAGAATTTTGAATCCATGTTCATGAGGGGTATTGGTCTGTAATTCTCCTTTTTGCTGGGGTCTTTGCCTGGTTTTGCAATCAAGGTAATGCTGGCCTCATAAAATGGGCTTACACGTTTTCCTTCTATTTCTATTTTTTGAAACAGTTTCAGAAGTATAGGTATTAATTCTTCCTTAAATGTTTCTAGAATTCTGCTGGGATGCCATGAAGGCTTGGACTCTTGTTTGTTGGGAGATTTTTTATTACTGCTTCAATTTCCTTGCTGGTTATGGTCTGTTCAGGTTTTCTATTTCTTCCTGGTTCAGTTATATGTTTCTAGGAATGCATCCATTTCTTCCAGATTCCCAAACTTGTTGGCATTTTGCTCATAATATTTCCATTTCTTCAGTGTTGGTTGTGATCTCTCCTCTTTCATTTGTGATTTTATTTCTTTGGGTCCTTTCTCTTTTCTTTTTGATAAGTCTGACTAGGAATTTATCAATCTTACTAATTCTTTCAAAGAACCACCTTCTTGTTTCATTGATCTGTTCTACTGTTTATTTTGTTTGTTTGTTTGGTTGGTTGGTTTCTAATTCATTGTTTTCTGCTCTAGTCTTTTTTATTTCTCTTCTCCTGTTGGATCTAGATTTCATTTACTATACTTTCTCCAGCTCCTTTAGGTGTAATGTTAACTTGTATATTTGAGACTTTTTTTGTTTCATGATAATAGTTTATATTGCTATATACTTCCCTCTTAGGACCACCGTTGCTGCCTCCAAAAGATTCTGAACTGTTCTGTTTTCATTTTCATTTGCTTCTATGATTTTTTTAATTTTTTTTAGTTTCCTGGTTGACCTATTCATTCTTTAGTAAGATGTTCTTTAACTTCCATGTATTTGTGTTCTTTCCAAATTTTCTTTTGTTATTGAGTTCAAGTTTTAAAGCATTGTGGTCTGAAACTATGCAGTGGTCTGAAACTATGCTGAGTATAATCCCAGTTTTTTGGTACCAGTTGAGACCTGATTTGTGGTCCAATGTGTGATCTATTCTGGAGAATGTTCCATGTGCACTCAAGAAGAAAGTGTATTCTGTTGTTTTAGGATGAAATGCTCTGAATATATCTGTGAATCCCATCTGGTCCAGTGTGTCATTCAAAGCCTTTGTTTCCTTGATCTTCTGCTTAAATGATCTGTCCAATACCCTGAGTATCATTATCAATGCATTTCTTTAATTTTTGTTATTAATTGGTTTATTTAACTAGCTGCTCTCATGTAAGGGGCATAAATATTTACAATTGTTAGTTCTTCTTGCTGGATAGACCCTTTAATTATGACATAGTTCCCCTCTTCATCTCTTATTAGTCTTGGGTTTAAAATCTAATTTATCTGTTATAAGGATTGCTACCTCAGCTTTCTTTTAATGCCTATTTGCATGATAAATGGTTCTCCATCCCCTCATTTTCAATCTGTAGTTGTATTTGGATCTAAAATGAATCTCTGGTAGACAGCATATCAGTGGGTCTTGTTTTTTTGTTTTTCTTTTAATCTAATCTGATACCTGTGTCTTTTGATTAGAGCTTTTAACCCATTTACATTCAGAGTAACTATTGAAAGATATGAATTTTGTGCTGTTGTATTACCTGTAATGTCTGTTTCTGTAGATTGTCTCTGTTCCTTTATGGTCTTTGCTACTTTTTGTCTCTCTTCACTCAAAGATCCACTTTAATATTTTTTGCAGGGATGGCTTAGTGATCACAAATTCTTTTAGTTTCTCTTTGTCTTGCAAGTTCTTTATCTCTCCTTCCATTCTGAATGACAGCCTTGCTGGATAAAGTATTCTTGCCTGCATATTTTTCTCATTTAACACCTTGAATTTTGTTATGTCAGCCCTTTCTGGCCAGCTGGGTCTCTGTGGATAGGTCTGCTGCCAGCCTTCTGTTTCTATCCTTGTAGTTTAAGGACCTCCTGTCCTGAGCTGCTTTCAGGATTTTCTCTTTTTCTCTGGAATTTACAAGCTTCACTATTATATGTCAGGGTGTTGTCCTAATTTTATTGATTTTGAGGGGAGTTCTCTGTGCCTCCTGAACTTGAATGCTTGTTTCCTCCCCCAGATTAGGGAAGTTCTCAACTATAATTTGTTCCAATATACCTTCTGCCCCCCTTTGTTTTCTTCATCTTCTGGAACTCCTATTATTTGAATATTGTTGCACTTTATGGTATCATTGATTTCTCAGAGTCTCCCCTCATGATCCAGTAGTTGTTTTTCTCTCCTTTTCTCAGCTCTCTTACTTTCCTTACTTTCCATCATTTTGTCTTCCATATTGGTTGACTCTACTGCCTCATTTATCTTCACTGTTAGAGCCTCCATTTTTGACTGCCTCTCAGTAATTGCATTTTTAATTTCAAACTGATTATATTTTAGTTCTTTTATTTCTACATTAAGGCATTCTCTAGTGTCTTTTATTTCTCTAGTCATTACTCAGTGTGCACACCATCGCATCCCTGATATTACTTTGGGAACCAAACGTCTTCCTCTTCCCTGCTGAATGGCTTCCCAGTCCCCCAATTCAGGGTTCCATACCTCGCCTCTGCCGAATTCTCTCATTCCAAATGTGCAAATTTTTTCTGTTCTCCTCCAATTTTCTTCCGAGTTGTTCAAAATAGTTGAAGATTGATTTAGTTGTATTTGAAGGACGAAGCAACTTCAGGGTTCCCCTACTACTCCACCATCTTTGAACTTCCCTGGGGCTGCTTTAATGAGGACAGTAACCTCATATATGAGGGCCCCACCCTCATGATCTAATCATCTCCTAAAAGCCCCACTTCCAAATACAACCATCTTGGGTATTAGGTTTCAATATATGAGTTTTCAGGGCACACAAACATTCATTCTATAGTAATGGTCTTCAAATGTTTTCATATCTCCATTTGAAAAAAGTGACTGACAGCCAAAACTAAATTTATGAAAGTATACTAATTCTACCATGAAAATTCTTAGTATCTAATTGCATGTGATTTTATTATGTCTAAATTTCTTAAATAATTATCTCTAAATTGTATCTTTCATACTCCTAGTAGTTAGTTATTTGTGTTGATCTATTGTTATATAGCAAACTGTCCCTAAACTTTGGAGCATAAAGCAAAAACCAATTATACTTTATATTTTTTAGGTCAGGAATTTGGGTCATTCACAGAAGAGATTATTTCTGCTCCACAATGACTGGTGCCTCTGGGGTGGTTCAAATGTCTGGAGATGGCTGGGATGGCTCATATAAGGCCATAAGCTGTAATGTCCAGAATGAATTCTTCACATACATATCTGGCACCTGAACTAGAGTAGTTGGAACACTTAGGCCTTCCTGGGTATTGTACTTTCTTTCTATGCAGTCTTTCCACATGGCCAGCTTGAGCTTCCTCATGGTATGGAAGTCTCCCAGTAGTCATACTTCTTTCAATACAGCTGATTTTCTCCAGAGTGAGTATTCCAATGGAACAAGGTGGAAACTTCAAGGTTTGGTTACTCAGGGCCTACCTATATTCACTGTGGTAGAGAAATACAAAAGAGTCTTAATACTAAGAGATGAGGTCCATTAAGAGGGTTATCTTTGGAGATTAGCCACTACATATGGGAATGTTGCAAACAAAAGTACCACTACATCTGGTTGAATGGAGTTAACACCGTCACTAGGTGTCATGAATCTTTTGTTTTGGAAACAAATGCTTCATCTTCATATTTTGACATATATATTCTGCTGTAATTACCATAAAATATGTATAGTTTGCTTTTATAATTACCATTAACTGTTATCCATACCATGCAACTATATTTTGTAGAGGGTAGAATCTATTTAAATTAATTCTAATACAGGGGCACCTGGGTGGCACAATCAGTTAAGCATCCAACTCTTGGTTTTAGCTCAGGTAATGATCTCAGGATCATGAGATTGAACCCCATGTTGGGCTCCATACTCAGAATTGAGTCTGCTTGAGATTCTCTCTCCCTCTTTCCTTCCAGCTCATGCTCTCTCTCTCTGTCTCTCTAAAATAAAATAAAATAAAATCTTCAAAGAAATTAATTACTTAATTCCAATACAGAATTTTGCCTCTAAAATTCTTGAAAAAGATTATTTGTACTTTTAATTTTCTAAACCTACATGATTGAATACATTTGTGCTATTATTTACTGTTTCAGCCCACCAGAATCTTATAACTATAGCAATAAAATTTTGTTATATTTATCCATACTTATTTTCAAAAAATGAATTATTGTCAAATAAATAATAATAATAATGATAAATCCATTTTTGAATACTGATCAGAATTTCCAATATGCTCAAATGTCTAAAAAGGCTGACAGCTTCTTACTTTAGAATAAGCTGACTTTTGTGTATTTGGATGTACCCTGTTTCAAGAAATAATAAAAGCAAGTCTACTGCCAGGTGAAGCAGGTTTGAACACAAGGCTGACTCTTCATAAAAGCCTGACAGTTTTTACAACTCAAGATCATGTTAATGTTACTTCACTAGATATCAGAAATAATACATTTTCTAAATTGGATGCATTAGGCAATTATTCAGATCAGAACTGAAACCCTATAATTTTCATTCTTCCTTTCAGTCCCAGCGGCATGTCACATTTCACCTACCAGAAGGATCTCAGGAAAACAGCAGTGATGGTGGACTGGGAGACCATGATGTGGGGATTCCCAGCACATCCCATGCCCTGCCCCTTGGCTATCCTCAGGAGCAGTACTTTGATCATACTGCACCCAATAACCGCACTGAAGGGGATGGCAACTCTGATCCTGAATCCTGTAAGTGATACCTGTTTAGTCCTGCAGGATAAATGGACTTATTGTGTTTGTTAGTCAAACAATTGGAGCTACAATGACACTGAGAATTTAATATTAATATGAGTATTTACAATTTTTAAAGGTAAAAATACAGAATTATGTGGAAGGTATATATGCAGCAGTTTATAATATATGAACTGTGTGATCATATCTACTTCAAAAGTTATTATGAAATTTAAAATACTCATTTTCTTTAGGCATAGATAAGATCTTTTATTTTTATATACATATAGATATGTATACATATGTATGTAACCAGCCACTTCATTTTATGTTATTTATTTAATTTAAGTACATATAAATTATTTTTATAATTCATATGAATTATTTTTAGAATTTATTTTTCATTTCAGTAGAGATAATAACCATAGGCATTTTTTAATTAAACACATTTTTTCACCATTGAGGATGATAATATCTGTGGGGTTTTCATATATGGCCTTTATTATGTTGTATAACAAAGAAACTTATTAAAGTGCAAAGAGCACACTATTTCACTTTAAATGAATTTCTATTACCTTAATATGGCATACTAATGATATTTTTGACATAGCGCATGTGTGTGCTTTGATTAAAAACAAACAAAAAATAGCAGATCAAAATTTGCCATAGCAAAATAATCTCTTCTAACACAGATGATAAGGTACTTTGATTGTTCAAGAAGAAACTCTATAACTCTGAAACAGTACATAATTATGGATTTTATGATATGGAGTAGATACTAATAAACTGTGCAATTTTAGTCCAAACACCACAAATAAGAATGTAAGCTGTTAGAGGAAATAAATGCTGTCCTTAAGCAATCAAATTATTTTACACAGTTCCCATTTCATATTTTGAAATGCTTTGCATCCTGAATCTGCTTTCTTTTCTGTTAATGAATTGTCCAAAATAGTACACAGTACTGAAAATTCCTTGTAAGGTCACAAAAACATAAAAATACATCTATGAATAAGATTTTCCCCCAAATTTGCTAAAGGTATTTATTAATGTTCCTTTATTTTTTTTTATTTTAAGTTTATTTTATTTATTTTTATTATGTTCAGTTAGCCAACATATAGTGCATCATTAGTTTTTGATGTAGTGTTTAACGATTCATTAGTTGTGTATAACACCCAGTGCTCATCACAACATGTGCCCTCCTTAATACCCATCACCCGGCTATCCCATCTCCCCATCCCCTTCCCTTATGAAACCTTGGTTTGTTTCCCAGAGTCCAGAGTCTCTTATGGTTTGTCTCCCTCTCTGATTTCTTCCCATTCAGTTTTCCCTCTCTTCCCCTATGATCCTCTGCACTATTCCTTATGTTCCACAAATAAGTGAAACCATATGATAATTGACTTTCTCTGCTTGACTTATTTCACTTAGCATAATCCCCTCCAGTTCCATCCATGTCAGTGCAAAAGGTGGGTATTCATCCTTTCTGATGGCTGAATAATGTCCCATTGTATATATGTACACATCTTCTTTATCCATCCCTCTTTTGAAGGGCATCTTGGCTCCTTCCACAGTTTGGCTATTGTGGACATTGCTGCTATGAACATTGGGGTGTATGTACCCCTTTTACACTGTTGGTGGGAATGCAAGCTGGTACAGCCACTTTGGAAAACAGTATGGAGGTTCCTCAAGATGTTCAAAATAGAGCTACCTTATGACCCAGCAATTGTGCTACTAGGTATTTACCCCAAAGATATAGATGTAGTGAAAAGAAGGGGCATATTAATGCTCCTTTAAAATACAGTTCCCAGGTTGATAAAAATCTTCTGATTAGATAATAAAATTATGGTATCCATACTCTTGAGTCTTTTGCCAAGACTATTAAATGTTCTTTTTATGTTAAAGAAGAAACAAGCAAACTGAATCTAATTATTTCTCTTTCAGAAGACAAGTTTAATAAAACATCCTGTCTCATTCCATTTGAAAGCTTTTTGAATTTTTAAATTTCATAGTTACAATCACCTGACTTTAGCCTTTGGTATGAGGGCCAAAGCCTATGTCCCAGAGCTTTCTCTAATCATAACCCCAACAAATTTATGTGTACCATTTTCAACAGACCCTGCTCTTTAAACTTAGCTAATTTGATAAAAATATAAATAAAAATCTAAATCATAAACAGCATTATTGGTTGCTGCTGGGTTTCTGTGGATACTCTAACAGATAAGTCTTTGACTTCTCAAAAGATTTTATGGAGACACAGAAGAGTGTAGACCTAGTAGAGAACAGAATGTGACTTTGTACTACTTGGAATTTTATATATCATGATATAGTATTAACTAAGAGGTCTGGAGACCATGTGATCCCCTTGGGACTATTCTAAATACAGTAATCTATATATGGCCTTATGTTCATATCTACTTATTTACAAGTAACATAAGGTAAAACATAATTTGAGGAGAGTTAAAAATGCTTTTTCTTTTCTTTTTTTTTAATTTCTTTTTTTAATTAACATATAATGTATTATTTGTTTCAGGGGTACAGGTCTGTGATTCATCAGTCTTACACAATTCATAGTGCTCACCATAGCACATACCCTCCCCAATGTCCATCACCCAGCCACCCCATCCCTCCCACCCCCCTCCCCTCCAGCAACCTTCAGTTTGTTTCCTGAGATTAAGTCTCTTATGGTTTGTCTCCCTCTCTGGTTTCATCTTGTTTCATTTTTCCCTCCCTTCCCCTATGATCGTCTCTCTTGTTTCTCAAATTCTTCATATCAGTGAAATCATGATAATTGCTTTAACTTTCCTTTGTAAAACACTGTTCTGATATTATAATTCTATGTTCTGAGACACATAGAAATATATCAAAGGTCTACCATATTAAACTTCAGAGATTTCTGAATAGTTCATAGATATTAAGTCAGAATGTCTGTGCTTTTTTTCCTCTTAAAGAGAGAATGCATTGCTATCTCACACTATTTAAAAGGTGGAGAGAAAAAAGTAACTACTAAATTTCCAGGGATCTGCTGACATATTATAATCTGACATATCATAGATAACATTCATGTTTCTTTGGAATAAAAATGGTGAAATAGAATATTTCTAAAGAGATTCAAATCAATCTTCAGTTTACCAGCCATAAGTCAATTAATTTTCAGAAAAGATCCTAAACGAAGGGGGAAACAAACTTAGTTTAATCAGTGTTATAATTGTCTTCAATTGCAATAGTTATGTCATCTGCATTTTTTAAAACCTCTTCATTGGATATAGTCATTTCACATATGAAGTCAATCTATCTGAAAATGTTACAGCTGTTTTAGTGTCTAAAATTTGAGCTTAGGGGTTGCCTGGCTGGCTTAGTCAGTAGAATATACAACTCTTGATGTTGAGGTTGTGAGTTTAAGATCCACATTGGATGTAGAGATTTCTTAAGAAAATAAATAAACTCTTCTTCTAAAATTTGAGCTTAAAGTAATAAAATATGATTAAAATTTCATCAACCTTTAAAGTGTTGTTTTTCTTTTACTTCACTCATTTCTGTCATACAAAAGAAAAAATAGAGTTCTAAGAACATTTAGGGCTAAAAAACTTAAACATTTAAAATAGAAATATGTTGCTGCATGCCATACTCAGCCACTAGGTACATTGCTGCTGCCATGCACTTCACCCAACCATTGTGAAGCACCCATCTGCTGCACTATGCCTAGCCATGGGCCCACAGTCACCATTGTGTGCCTGGCCTTGTCCAGCCATTGACAACCTCTGTACCCAACCTTGTTACTCTGGCTTCCCTGGTACACAGACCCCAGCTGCCTCAATGCATCAGAGCATCTGGCATAGAACTGGTGGTCCAGTACAAATTTTGCTAACACTGCCACACTGCTGCCAAATTCCTCAGTGAACACAGTCCCTCAGTGCTGGCCTGACTTGTTCCCACTAACAGCACAGATAGCAAGTACAGCCCACAATAGGCAGATGGTCAGTGCAGATGAATACACTGAAAGGAAAACTGACTTACACAAAACAGTAGTGTGTAAGCAACACATTTAGGATACTCTCCTAAAAGGCTATGTTCTGGTGAACAGGGGACACTGCATTGCAGGGCAGTTCAGGACCTCTTCTTCATAACATCACTACTTACAAGAGCATAAGACATAGCTGACTTTTCTAACATACAGAAACAGACACAGAAAGGCAGACAATATGAGGACACAGAGAAATAAATACATCCCAAATGAAAGAACAGGATGGAATGGCCAGAGATCTAAGTGAAACAGATATTAGTAACATGCCTGATAGAGAATTTAAAGCATTAATCATAAGGGTACTTTCTGGACTTGAGGAAAGAATGGAAGACATGAGTGAGAATTTTAACACAGAGATAAGGAACAGCATAGCAGAGATAAAGGTATCAATAAGCTAAATCAGAAATGTGCTTGATGGACTGAACAGTACACTAAAAGAAGTAGAGGAACAAACCAATGACCTAGAAGACAGAGTAATGGGAAGTAATCAAGCTGGACAAAAGAGAAAAGAGAACTATCTGTGCAGAAAGAGAATAGACTTCGGGAACTCAGTGACTCCATCAAATATAATAACAATCATATTAAAGGAGTCCCAGAAGAAATGGCAGGAAAGGGGGCAGAGAATTTATTTGAAGAGATAATAGTTGAAAAATTCCCTAATCTGGGGAAAGAAATTTATATATATCTCCAGGAGGAACAGAGAACCTCCATGAAAATCCACAAGAACAGACACCCACCAAAATATATTGTAACTAAATTAACAAAATACAGTAATAAAGAGACAATTTTTAAAACAGCAAGACAAAAGAAGACAGCAATATACAAGGGAAAACCCATAGGGCTAACAGGGGATTTTTCAGCAGAAACTTTCTAAGCCAGAGGAGAGTGGCACAATATAGTCAAAGTACTGAATGAGAAAAATCTGCAGCCAAGAATACTTTATCCAGCAAGGCTATCATTCAGAATAGAAGGAGAGATAAAGAACTTCCCAAACAAACAA